TTCGGCAAGGATAGGAAAGCCATGCGTCCTACAGGAAATATGAGGGACAGGAGGGTGAATGTCCACCAGCTAAATAGTTTTTTAACTGGGCTATGCTATTTTTTAATGGCTTTGAATCCTGTTTTCCCTGTCTTCCTTTCCCACCAGTGGCTACCGGCATGACAACCATGGAAAAGTGGAATGCGAGGAAATAAAATGCAGTATGAGGACACGCCTTGGATCTACGGAGCAAAATGCTTATCCGTGAAAAGTTATAGAGAATCATTCCGGAAGTAAAACCAAGATTCCGCAACAATTTGAATGCGTGCAGAAGATTAAACAACGGAAAACCCAGCAAAACAAGAAAAATGAATGTTACGCTTTGAATAACCAAAAATTGTAATTCGCAGCTCAAAAACAGATTGGCTTCTTGATTTAAAGGGGCATAATTATTTACTGTTCAGGATGCAGTACCCACATGTGTTGTGCAGGAATACAACATTTGCGTGCTTCTAAAAAGCCTTTCCATTTCAGCGGAATTCAATGAGGTCTCAGCCTCTCAGTTCCTAGTCCCGTGGGGACTAGTTTTCAGGGACACGTCCCTGAATCAAGTACACCGATAATCATCCAACACAACTTGTGGCCCAATAAACTGTGCTGGCCTACTGTAATGGTAAGGCGAAATGAACATATCATTACCGGCACACTTAATCCAGCAAGTCAGTCTTAAGCTTGCCATTATGGCAACAACACATTATGATGCTTTAATGGGGCCTCTGAGACAATGAATGGCCCCCTGTGTCAGCCAGCCGATCCACACTGCTGGACGGGGGATCATAGGTCGGAAAGAGACCCCGCTTCGGCCAGGGACGGGAGTCATTCGCTGAACAGGGACAGGGACGGGACTCGGAATGTGAGAGGGTCCGTAAGAGATCTCTTTGCGCCACTGAGGACCGCTGCGTCGATCCGGGGACATTTGCTCCGGTGAAAGGACCCCCAGCGGCAGGAAGTGGACCGATTTAGTGCGCATCTCTCTGCGAAGGCCACGGGATCGGTCAGGGGCTCCGGCTCCCGTGTCAGCAGAATGGTAGCCGGTAAATACCCCGCGGTAGGACGGAACTATTGGCCTGCAATGAGTGCGTCGAAGGCTGGTGCGACAGGCGGTCCCAGGCGGACCTTGCCGATTTAATAGCGGCACTTGGGGCATCTGTGCTGACATCATTGGTAGAATTGAAAAGAAAAATGTTGCTTCTCTGATACGTGCGCGTGTCGCTCTTCCCCACGAATCGCTTGCTTGTTTCCGTTTTCCTGATCAAAGCCTGGCAACACAATCGGTAACAACGTCAAACGATTGGCAACGTTATTTGCTTCTTTTAGATGGCCTTTAACCTCGGACTGAAGCATCAGCACAAAATGGGCCTGTGACAATCGGCAGCTCTGACCTCTTGCTGCCACGAGTCGACGGCGGAAATGAGTAGCTTGCATATTCATAACGGCGCTGCACGTAACCGGGGGGGGGGGGGGGGGGGGACGGATAAGGGCTCATAAATAGGGCAGATCAATTATCCTGCCGGGCGCCAGTCCCCTTCCTTCCCATCACCGAGCGGGTCTGCTATGCCCGGCGCTACACCTCCCCCTGCGAGATATCGGCCGTCAACAGACGCACCGCCCGCTCGCTGCTGTGCGTCGCCCCCCCCCCCTCGCTTCTCCGCTCGCTCGCACGCCAATGGCGGCGGTCTCGGCCTGGGGCGACCGAGGTGGCCGACCCGGCCGACTGCGCGGGCCGGCTGCGGACATTGTTCGAAGCCCGAGCCCGAGCGGCTGTGGCTTTGGTAGCGCCATGACAGCCGATGTGATGGAACGGGCCGCGCGCTGGTGAAGCCGATGCATCTACGGTGCTGTTTAATTAGCAAGAAACTCTGATCTACTTTCGTTGGAAAGATTGACGAGATAATTGGATAATTCGTCGGCCACTGGCGGACATTTATCAAGCGGTGGTCAGCCCCGGCCCCAGCTATGACCGCTTTTTAGAGTTCGGATCCGCGTCCTGAAAGACGGCGGATGTGGTGGAAGAATGGGCCTTCCCAGAGCTGGCGAGAGCCCCCCCCCCCCCCCCCCGTCTACCGAGAGCCGCCGGCTTTCCCCTCCCCCGCTGCGGAGAGCCGGCGATTCTCCCTCCAAAAAGACATTGTCCGTCATCTGGTGTGTGTATCAAGGGACGGATCCAGCTTCGGTGCGGAGAGCTGGCGCCCCCGTCAAGAAGACAAAGTCCGTCTCTTGATGTGTGTATCAAGGGACGGAGCCAGCTTCGGCGTGGCCATTCACCTAACTGATGTTCGGCTGAATGGGATGGGAACGGACAAAGCCCAATCAGAAAAGAAGCCTTCACAGGTAGCTGAAATCGAAGTGTGGTCAGATTGAGAGTATTTTGAGGAAGAATATCGGAAGCAATGTTGTTGAAACTTTTGATTAGGGGAAAGCAACTACACAGGCACGTTATTTAAACCATTAATCGGGGCAAGTGCTAGTATGCTGGTAACTGGTTGGTAACAGCAATACATTGTGAATGATCCGCTCCACAGATGGACATCAAATTAGACGGGACAAAAAGTGGTGGCCATCAAGAAAAACCCTCCAAAGTTTTCAAATTACCGCCACTACTATTAAGTGAAGCATCAGGGATGTGCATCAGGGAAGACATCATTGCCGGGGTGATGATTGCGCCCTGGCAAACTAACTTCCAAAATGAAATCAACCTGAGGCATCAGCGACGTTGCCAGTGTGTGTATAGTGCGGGGGAGGGGGGCAGCAGAACATCTCAAATTCCAACTTCCGAATTAGAACATCCCACAGTCGAGACATGTTCATGGATATTTTGCTCAGGATGGGGGGCGGGGCATGGTATCAATATGAAGTCATGGTGGACTGTGCAGCATTTTGCGGGTTACCACGCGCCAGGGTGGCCAGTTGAATACCCTCTGCTCGGTTGGGGAGGGGGAAATTTGAACCCCGGAGGTCTAAAAAAAGAAGAATAAGAAAGATAAGAAAAATAGAAAATATGAAAATAATAAGAAATACACGAAATTCATCGGGTGTGTTGGCCTGTACGTGAAATCACTTGTATCTAAAATTGAATTTCCTATGTCTTGACCTTTTAGGCCAGATAAGGTTCAACAAGGTCAAACTCCAGATTGGGGTCCAAAGTGCTCCCAGACCTCCTCATGCAAACGTGATGAAGCCGGATATTTGCTCTAAGGAAAAGTTCACTGGTGTTTATTTAAGGCCATTGTACCTTGTTCGACCTCAAGAAGGTCATGGTGACCAAAATCCTTCGGCATTTCTTTCGATTTTTGCACTCGAATAAGCGTCACGCTGGGCAGTATGTTCCCAAAAAATGTTGACCTGGGCCATTTTAGATCATGGACTTACTCTGACCCCTGAGAAGTTCGTGGAGGATGTATGTTGCGGTCCCTTTTTTGGATAAGTTCGAGACAAACACCAAAAAATTATTTCATACATCAAACTCCCGAGTAAAAAGCAGATTATTTTTTGACGGGGTCTGACCTATATACCTGACCCTAGGTTCATTTAATTTGTTGGAATCCTGAATTAACTTGTTGTATTGCATAAAAACCATCCCAGAGATGTGTGGCTTCTTCTAGAAATCCGTTGTCGCATCAGATTGAACGATTCCCAGATACAGCTTTCGTCGACAGCCACGGCCCGCCCGTGAATTGCCATGTCAGCGACCGTACAATGCAGATACATGTATTTTTCTTTAAAAATCGTTTTTCCATTGCCTATAGCAGGGTTTGCACGGCTGCGCTCCCCCCCCTCCCCTCCCCCGATCGAAAACAAGTCTGTAAAAACTGTGGAAGAGGGGGCAGGGGTCAAATCGTCTTCTTTCACGCAAGCGCGTGCTAAAACCCGAGATTTACTACCAATGAGAAGAGCATGTACTCTAGCCTTGGAATCACGGCGGACATGGCTTGGGAATGAGACCACTGCGCCGGCATGGGAAGCGTGGAAGTCGGGACATCCAAGGCTATTGTCGGGTTCTCCCGCGTAAGGCTACGTAGTCGTCGGAGCGAGTTGAGCCCTTGCGCGTGCTTTGTTGAAAGTGTTCTGGATCTTTATATAGCACTACGTTGACGAAACGCGATATGCCTGCTCTTCGTCCTGCAATAGCTTCGGGCACTTGAAAATGAAAAAGATAGATACATGCGGCAATAGGCTGAAAAGCATGATTAGTGTTGTTCTTCACATGATATATCGCATTTATGGTTGGTGAGTTATTTGTGTAATTCTGGTCTTGCCAAATGTGGTCAACGTTCCATACTCACGCCCTGGAAGTGGGAACAATGCAGAAAAGCACGCCGCAGCGATAAGTACGTGGGCCATGGCTTGAACCCTTGCACTTTGGATCGGGTAAAAATCAAAGGGTGTGAACTCTTGGGTTATTGGTGACGGCTCAGCTCACCTTTTGTCTCCTCTCCAACTTCCCTACTTTGTTGCTCCGTTATCAGGCATTCATGTCTAACATAATGCGTGTGTTAAAAAATGACGTAATATTGAAGCTCTCTGTGCAAGATCCCGGCACACATTAAGAGGGGTAGTGATAAAGCAAAAGTGCAGGTTTTGTATAACCATGTTCAGGGATCCACTGATTCAACAATCAACATTCTCGGTGCCGGACGATTGCGTAGTGTTTTATCAAGAAACGCTATATGTTGGTACAATTGGTGCAGCACAGCAATGAACGGTATTAGTTGCAGGCATCACATTCATCACTTACTTCGCCGGAACAACCGATGCACGTAAGACAAAACACACCCCGGTAAGCGGGCTAGTACGTACCGAGCGTACCGAAAACACCACCAGACACGGTCACATTGAACTTGCACCGTCTTGTGCAAGGTGCATGTCCGCTGGCGACCAATTCGTGCAGATGCAAGCTTGTCTTATGGCGGTGACTGCCGTCGTGAAGAGGATCCACGGTGGTCGAACCAATTTCCACATGCAAGTGTAGGCGACACTTGTATTGTCCACAACCTGGATGACACAATGCACAGAAGACACATCTAATATGCTAAAATCGTTTCAAAATGGAGTTGAAGACCATCGATTTGACCAGTCCACTTTTCAGTCGCTGATATTCCGTAAATCTGGGATTTTTAGGCGTATTCCAACTTCATGCACAATTTTCGGCATTACTGGCACGCGAAATATTGGGCACAACATAACTTGTTGAATCGCACAACTTAGGAAGGCTCGTAACTTGGCGATGTTTGATTTTTCGACAAACGATACCGTGATATACAACGTACACTGAATGAGAACTCGCATTTCGCGTCGACACAATATCACACTGCGTGCCATTAGGCTATCCAACCCATATTTTAAGCGATTATCGTCTGTTCCGTTCGCTATTCTCCGTTTAAAAGATGCTATTGAAAGCACAGCCAGCGACTCAGTGAGGTGATTTGCGGACTTGCAGGATTTTGCTGTAAGGCCATGGAGTTAGTTCCAGAAGCAGGTAGATCAAGGGAAGGTCAATTGATACAGCCTCTTTATGGAAATACCTTCACCCGCAAGGCATTAAGTTCCAAGATGTGCTGTGGAGTTATCTCATCACTTCTGGAAAATCTGCTGACGCATCACTGTCGTTCTCTAAGGTGCAAACAGAAATTAGTGATAGTATTTAGCATGAAATGTAAGTGTTTAACCATCAACGAAGCTCATAAAAAATGAAGCCAAGTGTTTGACACTGTTGTTCTGAGAAATAGCATCGACTCAACAGGCATTCTCTGCTACAATTGAAAATTACCTGGGTTGCAGAAGTAATCATTACTGAGGTGGCGAATTTCACGAGCAGTGGCATAGCTCTAATACTGCACTGCACTACCTGCAGCTGGAACATATGCATAGGACTGCATTTCATTCTAGCAGGGAAGCACGTACAATACCTTTAAAATAATTTAACCAAGCGGCGCCACTCTTATCAAAGCGAACCCGTATTGTGCGACAGCAAACACCATCCCCGCCTATCCCACTGCTTTGGTAAACCACAGCGGTGTTCCGCATACCACAACGTCGAGATGCCACGTAGCCACACGTTCACGAGGTCGCGAGGTCATGGCGCTTCAGGTGACTGCAAGCAGGACTTCGAACAGCCACAGCCGTGGCTGCCACTGGCTTGGCATAGACCACATATCGTTCGCGTGCACACGCCAAAATAAGTGAACTCACACTGATTTTTCGCGCAGTCTTCAATCGAATCGAGGGCCCCGCTCCAGCGCTCTTGGAAGCCAAGCGCCATCGTCCTTGATCAGACGTCATACTCCTTCAGTTCGAACGAGAAAAGCGCTCACCGGGCGCGCGCCCTAACCGTGTGACGTCACTAGCTCCGCTCCTGTCCATGCGTCGGCTCAGCTGAGCCGCGCTGCCGCGTCGGCGTGACGTCACTGCGGAGGCTCCTAGCTGCTGGCCCAGGGGCTGTGACGTCACATGTGCTGTGGTCTAGCCCCCGGGAAGACGAAGAATGCAGAGCAGTGCATTGACAGTTGTCAGCAGCAACGGCGCGCGGACGACGGAACCTGAAATCGGCATAGAGTACTGTGACAATACAGCATTGCGCTCTCTCTCTCTCTCTCTCTCTCTCTCTCTCTCTCTCTCTCTCTCTCTCTCTCTCTCTCTCTCTCTCTCTCCTCTCTCTCTCTCTCTCTCTCTCTCTCTCTCTCTCTCTCTTCTCTCTTTCTCTCTCTCTCTCTCTCTCTCTCTCTCTCTCTCTCTCTCTCTCTCTCTCTCTCTCTCTCTCTCTCTCTCTCCTCTCTCTCTCTCTCTCTCTCTCTCTCTCTCTCTCTCTCTCTCTCTCTCTCTCTCTCTCTCTCTCTCTCTCTCTCTCTCTCTCTCTCTCTCTCTCTCTCAAAACATTGCATGAGGAATGAATGTCGCACCGATGATGTTTAGCCCAAGGTGTCACATAAAAGTCACATTTTCCGGGCGGTGAATCTGTAATAGATATCGCAATTACGTGCGGCGCTGATGGCCCTTTCAGGGACGAATGACTTGATATGCATGCTGATAACCACATGCTTGAGTTGAAGCATCTTCAAAAATAAGCTGACGGAAAACTAAACGCATAAATTCTGAAACAATATGAAAGGAATCCACCAAATCTTCACCGCATCTGCAGGTGCGGGTTGACTGAGCCACACTATCTCTGTTCCCTACCCTATCACCAACCTTTTCCAACTGCAGCCCTGAATTTTGGTGAACTCTGCTGATTGCCGATCTCACGTTGATCTGGAAAAAATGAGTCACCCTGCATTGCCGGCGACTTCGGGCCGGGGGTCGCCTCCCAAACTAGCTCGCAAGTTGGACGTTGAGCTTGTGGTAATCGTGATATCGAAACAACAGAAAACAGGATATTTGTAGCTTTTGCTAAGATGAAATAAAAAATTCACATTTCCCAGACGATATGTGGTTTTGAAAGCGACAGTGCCTTTTTACGTGGTTTTGTCCAAATAAAGGTGCCATCTCTCACCAAAAGCCTTTTTAAGACCCAGGCTCTCGAAAGCGGCACTGTCGCTCAGAGATCTCAGTGGGTGGGTTTAGCCCGTATGGATTTCAGACAAAATTCATCGCTAGCAAAATGCCTAATATTGCTAAACGTATCAACATTCCGCTTAAAAACTGTTTTGAAGTTCTGCACAAAGATGGCACTAAGTTGGATACATCTGAAACCAATGGTTAATTTTGAAGGTGCTGAGATGAAAAAACGGTACTTTAGGGAATGCAGAGCAGCTCCGTGGCCAATCGCCGCAAACAAAAAGTTACGCAAGATCTGGATGAGTGGTTAGAATGCACCAGAAACAAAGCTAGAAAAAACACCGCAGTGCCCACATCCCAGCCGAATGGAAGACGCAGCGCCTTAAGGTGCTGTAGCTCGCGGTCTCAGTGTGCACGCCACCCTCTCGCGCTCACCGCCACCTGCGCCAGGAGACATCCTCTGGGGCAGCGTCAGGCTGGAGATGTGGACGTCTTCGCTCTGGTAGGAGACAGACTCGATCTCGGCCGTGCACTTGAGGACGACCTGGCCGGAGAGGCTGAAGTGGGCCTGCCGCAGCCGGAAGTCGAGACCGAGCGTGGCCGTGCGCAGGCCCGAGGGCTCGGAGGTCTCCCGGTAGCGGGTCAGCGAGCTGTTGTCCGACTGCCGGCCAGGTACAGCTCAAGTTAGCGTCGTTGATGGTGCACGCAAAAGCGCATTTGCTTTGACGCCTTGGCCTTTACGATGCACCCGATTCCAGCAACCGGGGGGAGGCACGGACTAAAACAGGACTGCGCTGCGCAACTATTCCTCCTTATATGCCAAAGGGCTGGGTTGTGGGTCCTAGAGATAACCTGATTCGATAACTAAGGACACACTCGTTTGGTACGCGTAATTCTCAGAGCATTAAATACATTACTGCGGTTCGCCACAATGCAGACATGCATAGACAGAGTACAAGTGAATTCCTATTCTTTGATCCCACCACTCTTGCTTCTCGTCCCTTGACAGCCATGTTGACCTTGCTTAGATGCAATCATCGCTGGCAAACAGTCGTAAAACGTGAAAGCAAAGTTACGCAGCAGAAAGACCAAGACCAATCTTCGAGCAAGGCACTTCATGAGATGATGGACGCCAGTGAGCTATTCCGCGGGCCATTGGAGGCGTGACGTCACCTCGGGACAGCCTGCTCCGGCCTGCTCGGCGGGGGTCGGTTCGGTGAGCTGTGGCGGTTGGACCCGAGCGCATTGGCCGCCGTTTGTAGCTCCGTCACGATCGCGAGATCCTGCCAGGAACGTTACTTTATAGCTACAGGCTCAATTTTCCCCTCGATTCGTTCCGACTATTCGATATTCTGGAATAACGAGCAGACGACGGCGAATTTCAGCAGCCGCTAGCAAAAAAAAAGACGGCAGCCGTGAGCGGCCTTTTCAGCGGACGCGGCGACGACCTGCGTAATAACCGGCCCTAATGGAGAGCACGCGCAGTATCTGCACTGCACTGAATGCAGCGCTGTAATGACCCAAGAAGTGGCCCGTCAGCGAAAGCCCAGGCCCAATGGGTTCGAACCGCAGGGACTCCCTGAACGCTAGGATCCCCTGGGTCTGCTGGTGACGCCGCTGTACAGGTTGGGTGCGCGCGGGGCAGGTCAAGGAATCACATGCCAGAAGCAGCACTTATACCCCAATGGTCGCATTCGTTTAGCAATCACTGAGGATTCCTTTCAGGATCACCTAGTCCTTTCTGGAACTAAAAATGCGTCGTTTGGTATTCATTTCAGTCCGTGTTATGGAAAACGGCGATTCTGGGAGAACATCAACCCTATTTTCGGGCGGGGTCCAATTCTACCTTAATGTGGTGTCTCACATTTCAGGGCAAAACTGCTTCACTTTCCGGCAATCAAGCCTTGTAACTTGCCTGGACCATGCATTCAGCATTCTGAAACAATTTTGTCATTCTACATTGTCCAGAACTGGGGCTGGGCTTGGTTTGAATGTCAAGAAAGTTCACGAACTTTTCAGAGATGTGCGCTGCCAGATCAATTTCTCACGCAAGCTGGTGTTTAAATCTACTGAGTCTCACAGCATCGGATTTCATGGCGGAACAATTTCAGTACTTGTGCAGGCTCATACGCGGATACAAAAGATATGCTAGGAGTGCATCGCCATGATGCGCCAGTGACGCAGCCAAGATTCCGCCCACGACGCGGCCAAATCGGGATCTGGGGTGGGCCCTTAGAACCAAGGAAGCCATCTTTCTTCGTAGCGGCTATAACGGCCTTGTTTTTGGATTTTCTGGAGTTTTTAAAGCCTGGAACACTATATTGATGCATCAGCGTTATATTTTCGATATTTTGAAAGCCCCGTAAGGAGTTTAAAGCGGCCTGCCAACGCCAATAAACAAGTCCTTGGTACCTCTGAAGTGTAGTGGTCTGAAAGCGTTCCGCCATTGGTGGGCATGAATGACTTCTGTAGAAATGGTCGTTTGTGATTGGCGCAGTGAGTGGCGAAGGCCATTCAGCAAGAAATGCATTGATAGAAGTTTGGAAGTCCACCCAGCACGGGGCCAGATCGGGACTTAGCAGGAGGACCTTTCGGTCTGAACATGTATGTCCCATGATATGCCAGTCATGCACACCTGCTTCATGAACACAGCCTTGTAATGAACTGGGTGTCCATCTACCCATTGTTTCCCAAAGTCAAAGTGCCCTCGTAAAAGACCGGCTATGCTAAATGCCATAGCTCAGAACTTAAGATTATGGCATGGCGTGTTGTTGAATTCGCGTGATGCTGATTTCAATACGTGAAAAGCAAGATGTAGACGAAAACGCCTTACGTAGCTGCACATGATGCTCACGAACTTCAATTCCTATGGTCAAAAGGCTATCTAAAATGACCGACGACCGCCTCGTCGTCTGTTTTTGTCGGGTTGTACGGCATTCACACGTTGTCCTGCAACAGCGTTACATAATATTTAATTTCGGTACGTACGTAAATTCAAATTTGCATTCCAAAGCGTCACATAAACAATGGCCTTTCAGGACGGATTTCCTGCTTAACCAGCATTATCACTGGTCTGAAGTTCAACGCTGATAGCAATGAGTGAACTTAGTCGCAAATCATCAAAATCGGACAACAAGCATAGCTTTTTTGCCATTGCACTCAGTGAAGTCGACACTGAGTGAACCGAGGCGTAATGCGAAACTATTGAAACTCAAACTGGACCAGGCTAAGCGTTCCGCTTCCGCCAAGGTGCGGGTCGCGCGGCTGAACCGAGCTCAGGCTGAGACAGGGGCAGGGGTACTGGAAACTTTACACAGGGCTGGGCGAAATGCAACTGAGCACTGGTTGGTTGAATAAGAAACTGAGGCTACTAGTTGCGTGCTGTCATTGTCGTGCCCGTGTTCTCTCGCTGCGGCTTGCCCACAAACACGCAAACACCACTGCGTGCTCACCACAAAGAATAACCCAACGCGTTAAGAAACCGGGCAACTCACAAAACCTAGCCATCTGAACTCAAATCAGACAGGCCAGAAACCGATGTTCATCATGGCAACATTTGCACAAGTCAATATCAAATTCCCCGGGAGGAAAGGAATCAGACACCTTGCCTCCTAAGCGATGGTCCCTTTCGTTCATCTCTGCCGCGCATCGAACTGTCAAAGTTCGTTTGGTCGGCGGTGAAATGGTCGTACGGGATCGCGCTGCTTAAAGGGAGTTTAGGCAGCGCGACCGGCAGATTTGTAAGTGAAACAGCCCGTTCTTAACCACCAAAGCTGTGCACTTAGTAGCCTCCTCAGTACGTCCTTATTGCGTTATGGAGCTTTTGCATGACGTTAAGGCGCTGCTAATGTGGTCGTGTGAAATTGCCACTCTGGCACGCACTTGCGAACTTAGCTTCTTACTGAAAGCATGCAATTAAAACTCGCCAAAAATGGTAGTGGCTGTGCTGGATGTGTTCGCTGGGCCAAATATCATCATGTGCTCGTGTTTTAGATTTATCTCGTGGTGTTCTTACATATGTATCCATGAGTTTAATAGATAAGCTGGTATGCACATGCCCAGCTAAGGCGCTTTCTTAAGTTCTTGGATTACAAGTCTTTTTTTCGTAATGGCTGGTCAAAATGTCCAACGTCTTTTATTATGCAGCACAAAACATGATTTGTGACCGAAACTTGCACAACCTGTTCAGCATTGGTTGAGAGCCAATTCACGTTTATTTTATTTGGAAATCGTGTTTATGGACGCTAGATCTGAACGACTCGACGATAATATTATTTCTATCCTTGAATGCCGCAAAGCAAGGGGATGGCAGGATTTGAATGACGTCGCTACGGTGTCATGCATGCCTGAATGACCTTGAAATAGTCTGCACGAAATAGCCTGCACACCCTCGCAGTCGTGTAATTCAGAAACTAGAGGATTTCAGGTCTTGAGAATGGCTGGGCTTTGAACGGCATCGTATGATCGTCAGAATGGCTAATTCAGTTCGAAGCCCCGTTTAAAAGTAAAACACTTCCTTTAAGCGCCTGTTCGTGACACTCCTGAGCTGACTGACGCAGAATGCATTTGCAGAAAAGTTTGGGTGATTGTGTCGGTAATGCTGCCAGCGACCTTCTGCGCAGTGGAGATCTGCACCCGGTCGCTTCTAAAAAGTTGAACGAGCGGTGTAGAAATTCTAGCGTCGTCGCAAAAGCAAACATAGACATGCTTATAAGGACCCCAGAACCCGAAGGCCACCCGGAGCTGCTGTCTCTCCCGTCGACCAATCACACGCCGTTGCAAAACGCGGGCGGGGATTCGCATTCCGACTTGGCTGCATCAACAGATGTGTCGTCAGTCACTGCTGAACCGTCGCCGCCCCTTCCATGGCACTGCGGACAGCGGGTAGTCGCCCTGGAGCCACATCAGCCTGCGCTGGCTGATCTCGACAACTCGCTGCACGCGCTGGTGGCTGCTGGGCGTGGAGCTGGAGATGTCGCAGAGCCAAGCCGTGATGGTGAGCAGTCATCAGGGGGCGGCGGAGGGCAGCGTGCAGTGCATTCCAACGGCAGTGTCACGCTGCCGCCGTGAGCCGACGCTGAGAGGAAACGGTGGCTCCGACTTACTACCTTCGTGGGAAATTGCACCGCACTTAAAGTTGAAAAAACTTTTCTTAAACACCGATAAACGTGCGGCTAGCGGCGGTGCAGCAGGCAGGGTGGGCGAGCAGAAAGGGGCGGTTGCCATCTCTGCTGACGGGCAGGGGAAGGGAAGGTTGTTTTTGCCCCCTCACATTTTTGGGAGACCCTTTTTGTCTCAAACTTAAGACATTGTAACCACTCGAATCTCACCAAACTCAGATCAAGGAGGTCCCATAACTGAGCTAGATAGTAATAAAACCCTTTTAGACTTGAAGACATTAGAAGACCCTTTTCTGCACCTTGCATCAAGGTGCAAAGTAACGCCATTTTCTGGATCATGAGACCACCTTGATGGATAAAGTAAACCCAGGTCTAGATGAGTAATGCTATTAAAGATGCCCCTTTAGTGGTTCGGGAATGTTACAAACGTCTCCCGTTACGAACTAGCAGGCCCTGTTCTGAATTACGTGGTGCATTCCGTATTCAAGATGCACCATTCTTGGACCAGGAGGTACTTTTCATACACCAGATGGCCACAGCT